CACACACTCACCGGGTGCACCTCTCCGATCACCATGCTGCTGGCCATCTCTCGGGCGTCGGTGGAGTGTCCGACGTCCTCGAAGCTCTCCGTGGCGTTTCCTCCCGCCTGCTCCCTCAGCACCTCCTCTCCTCCGGGGTGCTGACACCACAAACACACACAGAGCCGTCAGTTCACCTCCTCACGCACACATTCACACTTTTAAACACACAATTTCTAACCAGTCACTCGTCAAAGTCGAGGCTAAACACAAATCCTCACATTGCTTCAGGTTCCGGTTGCGGTCGGCACGGTAACACGCTGTGACAGGCCCACGTGCACGCTCGCAGTAACACCGATGCTGGTCGCCCTCATCAAACAGAGGCGTGCGTGTCCCTCTCTGCCACGAGAAGCCGTCACAGTCGCAGAGGCTGTGAGTCAGTCACGCCGCTGCAGCTGCAGAGCCAGTTTCAGCGCTGCATGGTGCAATCAGGCTGCCCACATGCAGGCTGGGGAAACATGGCAGACATGACGCGCAGCTCGCCTCTGTCGGGGCGCCTTACAGGACCACAGCTGATGACACGCTGTAAACCTCTCTACACATGAGCTACGTTTGGGATCAGACGTCAACATCGACTGAGACTCGCCCGCGGCCTGTGATTGGACCGTCCTCCCCATCGCCTCTTTGTCTTTACCTGCGTCTCATTAATGAATGATTCACAGGTTCGCTCTGACCTGCAGTGAACCACGGCACTCGGCTCACCTCTGGACAGCTGCTATAAAACAGCTGGATCCTGAAATCGCTGCAGAGCATGTCTTTGAACTCTGAGTGAACCGGAGCAGCGAGACGAGTCGAGAGGCCTCGATCTGTTCGCTGACTGTTGGCCAACACACCCTGAACTCTGTACAAGGAGACGCCATTCATTCAGATAAGCTGTGACCAGGGAGGAGCCAAGCAGCCCGAGGGCCAGGCTGTTAGTCATAACCAAGCAAGGCAACTTTATTTGTATAGCACACTTTCAGCACAAGGCAATTCAAAGTGCTTTAGGGGCGACCGTGGCTCAGGGGGTTGGGAAGCGTACCTGTAACCGGAAGGTTGCCGGTTCGATCCCCGAGCTCTCTGTCCTGGTTGTTGTGTCCTTGGGCAAGACACTTCACCTACCGCCTACTGGTGTTGGCCAGAGGGGCCGATGGCGCGATAGGGCAGCCTCGCTTCTGTCAGTCTGCCCCAGGGCAGCTGTGGCTACAACTGTAGCTGCCTCCACCAGTGTGTGGATGTGAGAATGAATAGTGGCATTGTAAAGTACTATATAAATCCACTCCATTATTATTATTATTATTATTATTACTACATGATTAAAGTGATAAAAGAAAGCATTTGTAATAAACCAATAATCAAGAAAATCATTTGTATGAAAATTAAAACAAACAGGTAGAGAGCCATAACAGGATCAGTTACTCATAAGCAAGTCTGAATAAGTTTTAATTTTACACTTAAAAGAGCTTTGCATGCTCCTGATAGTTCCAGATGTGAGGAGCATAGAAACTAAAAGCTGCTTCTCCAGGTTTAGTTCTGGTTCTGGGGACGGTCAGTAAACGAGAGCTGGAGGACCCGACTGATCCATGACAGCAGATCTCTAATGCACTCTGGTGCTAACCCATTCAAAGATTTATAAACTAATAAAAAAGTCTATTCTGTGAGCTACAGGGAGCCAGTGTAATGACTTTAGAACTGGAGTAATGTGCTCTATTTTCTTGGTTCTAGTGAGAACACGAGCAGCAGCGTTCTGGATCAGCTGCAGTTGTCTGTTACAGTAATCAAGGCGATAAATGCCTGGATGAGTTTCTCTAGGTGATGTGTCATCAGTCCTTTAATCCTAGAAATGCTCCTCAGGTGACAGAAGGCTGACGTTGTTATTACTTTGATGTGGCCCTGGAGGTTCAGCTCTCATTATTACACCTAAAGTTCTGGCCTGGTCCGTAGTTTCTAGTTGGACCAGTTTGAGCTGATTACTGATATTTAGTCTTTTTGGGTCCAAAGAGAAGTACTTCAGTTTTGTAGCAGGCATTAGAGTGCACATTAGAGTGCACATTAGAGTGCACATTAGAGTGCACATTAGAGTGCACATTAGAGTGCACATCTGGGTCTTGTATTAAATGTTTCCCTGTATTTGTCTGACAGGTTTAGTTGATTTACAGTTTAAGATTTTCTTCACACAAAACCAAAAACAGAATTCATATTAATTGTAACAGTTTATAACCAGTTGAAGCCATTACTCATCCCTCTAATTACCCAGGGATGAGTAATGGATAATTAAAAGGAAAAACCTGTGTGTTGGGAAGCATTCATGTAACAAAGTGTTCTGCAGGTTCCCTCTGTGGTGGCCATCTTGTTTCCCCAGTGAAGAAGAGGCCTGCCTCAATTGCAGCTCTTTTATAGGCCAGTCTGTATTGAGAAGGCGTGGTCTTTAGAGTATTTGTGCATGATGTTGGCAAGAGACAATAAAACAATTACTTCAGTTAAGATAGAGTGAAGTCTGATGTTTCCCTCACCGCGGCCTCTGCGTAACACTGTGACTCACTAATCTGACCTTTGTGAAGACATTTGCTAATCAATAGACTTCTAACCACAACCCATGAAATGATGGACACAATATTCACAGATCAGTCCTTAATGATTAGCAGCAGTTAGCTTTGTAAAACTTTCAATTGCATAAATTATTGTACTTTTGCAGTATTTAAAACCAGATCCTGAGGATATGAAGCCTCCTTTGTTCTAGTCACCAACATGGACTAGCGCTAGCTAACGTTAGCTTAGTCTGCTAATCGCTAACATCAATGAACGGAGGAAACTCCCCATAAAAATAAAAAATAAATGACTTCAGGGGAGATTTTTTTTAATAAGAGAGGAAACACACTCAGGTTAGCTAGCTGGCTGTTAGGGTTTGGAAGTTAGCCACTTTTGGGCTTTTTATTGAGCCCCAGAACAAAGCGTGAGCAGGCTGATGATTGTTTTGGTTGTGAGCCGATTGTCACATTTGCCCGTAGCTTGCATGGAAGACACTGACTTCTCTGCTAACACTGGCTAACTGCTCGCTGAGCGCTGCTGAAACCTGAAACTGTGACACAAACTGGAAGTTGAGAACGTTTACTGTCAAAGTAAAAGCTCCACCGCAGTGCTGCGGCCGCCATGTTTCAAAGGGTTTGTTTGTCATGTTTCCAGATGCAGCGTCTGTTACATTACAGGTGACACAGCAGTCTGCAAGCTTAGCGACCAAAGAAATCACAAGTAAGTGGTTGGTGAATACATTTTTTCCTAGCAACCAGTAGTTTCCAGGCAGTCAATGTCTGGCCTTCAGGTCTGCCAGCACCCTCTGGCCAACCAGTTGGAGAATAATCATTTTCTCCCAGTGACCTGAGGTTGGCAGATGGTTGCAGACTGGTCCCTAGACCTTTAGTCTCTACACTGTTACATGTCCAAATCATTAACATCATGTGACTAGCTGTCATGTGACCACAAAACCTCATAAGTCTGCAGGAAGTAAAAAGAGGGACCACCCGGGGCATGCTCATTGTCTCATCATGCAAAGCAAACATGGACAGCTGTGCAGCATGTAACTGATGCTCACCTCATCAACTCCAATCAGCTCTGCTATCCAGTGCTTATATCTGCATGTAAAGGGTGTGAACACTTCCACCAGTGGATCCAGTTTCCTGGATATTTCTGATTTGGATCAAAAACTTCCTGCTGTTCATCTTTAATTGGACAATTCCACACATATGCTGACGTCTCCAGGATTAAAGTAACAATGAAAACACATCTGGTTTAGATCTGAAGTGAGTCAGAGCCAGTTATCTCTCTTTGTGTAGTCACATGTTATAAACCCAGCCCCCCCCATAGCTGCATCACTGCAGCCTGCCAATGATTCACCAGAGTCTGCAGCACAAAGCCAGAGAGCAAACTGTGGCAGAGTTCATCCAGTGAATCAGCAGAAAACTGAAGCCTGACGATATCTGAAAGCAGAGGGACGGTGTAAAGCTGAGCGGAGGTGGAGGTGAAGGGTTGTGGGGCTGACGCTTTGTGTGCAGCAGTCACATTTGCTGCATGCAAACTGAAACGATCCATGTTTACGGCCTTAGATCGCTCTGTGCTTCAGAGCAGCACGTTAAACCTGCAATAAACCTGCACACAGACGGCCAGGTACCACTTCATTATATCAACCATCACACCTTTTCTAGACCAATCAGAGGCAGTCGGACGCATTTATTCATTCATATGTTCAAAGAGGCCAAACCTGCCTGAGCCTGGTTCTGTTGGAAGTTTCTTCCTGTTAAAAGGAAGTTCTTCCTTCCCACTGTTGCCATGTGCTGCATACAGGGTCATCTCTCTAACACTACTAAACTGGTCTAAAACTTTTATTTAAATGTTGCAGGTACCCAGAGTAACTTCACCTTAACTTAATCAAAATCAGTCAGCTCAACAATCGGAACAGAAAATTCTAATAATAATAATAATGGATTGGATTTATATAGCGCTTCACAATCCCACTATTCATTCACTCTCACATCCACACACTGGTGGAGGCTACGGTTGTAGCCACAGCTGCCCTGGGGCAGACTGACAGAAGCCAGGCTGCCATATCGCGCCATCGGCCCCTCTGGCCAACACCAGTAGGCGGTAGGGTAAAGTGTCTTGCCCAAGGACACAACGACCAGGACAGAAAGCCCAGGTATCGAACCGGCAACCTTCCGGTTACAGATATGCTTCCCAACCCCCTGAGCCACAGAAACACTCAGGTCTGAGCAGCTTGAGCTGCTAATATTTGGCTTTAATGAGGAATCACTCAGGTTTGCAGGGATAGCTTTATTTCTCAGGTTTAATACGATCAATAACGTCTCAGGGGCCGAAACTCTTTCATGTGACCTTTGACAGATAAATAAGCCGCTGACATCGCTAACACCCTTTAATTAGCTTAAACACAGATATCAGGCCGACATTAGAATTTGGCTGAGCGTCGTTCGTCACAAGGATTTATTTTATATATTGATCAACTGGGAAAAAAGTCCTTTCAGGTTAATAGTTAAATGTTTAAAAATGTAAATCTGCCAAAATGTTTTAATTAAAATTTTACATACATTATTTTATTATATTTTTATTATTATGAAATATGTTTTTGTGGTTTTATTCCCATTTTTGTTCCAGTGAAACAAAGAAATCATCACTAAATGTCCCAACATCAGCAAACATTAGGTACAGACAGGCATTGGTCAGTGAAGCTGGTGTCTGGCCAGTTTAAAGGCTTTTAATCAATGCAAAGATCAATACCATCATTTATTGTCACTAAATCGTTTTTGATCAGAAATTGAAACTGTTGAAGATCAATTACATTTTTGACAATTTCCCAATAAAACACGATCAGTTTAAAAATGAAAAATCCAGGATTGACTCGTTCAGCCTGACAGTCCCACTGAACACAGACATCCAGTTTCTAATCAATAATCCTATCCATCTATGTCCAGAGTCTTTTGGTATTTCTGGGCTTCCATAGACCACAAAACCCAAACAAATCCGGTCTCCGTTGTAGCGGAGACACCTGCCCTGATTCGGATACTTCCCATCTGACCTTTGACTTATTGTTTAAGTTGGCCGGGTTCCTCTGGGGCCCTTCCTGGGACCCCTGCGATTCTGAGAAGGCTCCAGTCTGTACTGTGAAACTACAAGCTGCTAAGGATGCATCCAAAAGCGGTTTGGTTGGATTTTTCTCCCTCTCAGTTTCAGGGTGTCTAGTTTCCTCATTTCCTGTTTTGGCTGATTTCCACACACACATAATACCGCCGCACTCCCACCACCCTCACCACCCAGACACCGAGCTCACCTCCTCCAGAAACTTGGTCACATCGTAGACTTTGTTGTGGATGATGATCCACGTCGATTTGAAGGAGTTCTGCTTCTCTATCTCTGCCAGTCTGTAGTATTTCACTCCCTCGGAGCTTTTCTTCTCTTCACCCATCTGTGCGACGCTGTGCGAGCGAGTTCTGAGGGCTGAGCAGCCTGTCCGAGGTTATATAATCGCAGCGAGGGTGTCAAGACAGTGAGTCCACAAAAACACCGACATTTACCCCAGAGAGAGTCCACGCTAACTTCCAGCGCTGAGCAAACGCCAGCTGCTGAATTGACCTGAGCTCAGTGTCGCCTCCTGCTGCTGCCTCCAAAATAAAAGCCTCCTCCAGTTAGTGAAACGGACTTCTTCAGAAAGAATGGCAGTTATCAGCAAAAAGTTGAAGTATTTTATTTTCATAACCTTTACAAAATAACATTAAAGTTAAGTAACATAATGCTTCAAATGATTCCTCAAATAAGTGCCCTGATATCTATAGCTTATATATTTCATTGCAAATATGCTGGTGTACTAAACCTATGCGTTTTATTTATTTATGTCGTTATTATTATCATTATTATGCTGCATTGTGCTTTTATTATGAAATACTGCTTTGTAATTTCCGTTGTGCTCGTACTTATTACTGGTTGCTTTATGATGGTGTCTCAAAGTTCCTGACACACTGGCGGAGACCGCCCTCCCCACCGCTCTCCTAATATGCTATTGGCTTTTCCTTCCCTCCTCCAGGATAATGGTCGTCTGTGATTGGCTCTTCCCGTGCCAATCATCAGTGAGACTATGGGCGAGGACGAGGGCAAAGTTCGCCGGAGTTATCGGCTGTCAAGGAAACTCACTTCTCACGCAACGGTTCGGGTCTTCTCACGTAGCCCACGTACTGAGATTTTTTTTTTCCTAATCTGAGCGTTTCAGCGGGCAGCCGGACATCCGGTTGTAGTCGCAAATCCCATCAGACCTGCATAACTTGGTTAATGTTATGTCATAAGTTGGCATTCAGAGTAGAAAATTTAGACTGATACTGGAGCGGCTCTACGGCGGGAAAACACGCGAACCCGAACTCAAAGTTCTTCTATTAATACAACTCATCACTATGCAGCAAAAAAAAAAAGTTAAATCAGACTAAACATTAATCAGGCATCATGCTCCACTTGTTCTGTTAAGGAGTCGTTAACATGCATTTTATTAAATAGTTATTAATATGCAGCTTGTAAACATACACATATAAACGGCACCCCATCTTCAATAGAAAAGATTTATTTCACTAAACGAAGGAGAGTGAGAGTTCCTCTTCTTCTCTCACCCATCTTTGACTACTGTTAAAGAGAGCTTTGCTAACCTTATATCTTGTATTTACGCTTTTTGAAATGCTTCTTTCTAACAAAACTATTTCCAACAGAAGATAAGTTTCATTTTGGTGTAGTGTAAGCATTAGAACAAGGTTAGTGACTGAGAGATTAACTTTAAATTTAAAATTAAAACAATTCTTTAAAAAAAAGGCGCAGCTCTAAGTTAGCGTTAGCTGCTACTAGCCTATCGATAGCATTAGCTTTTATAGTTTTCAGGTCAGAGGCACAAAAATGTGACAGAGACTGATTTAAAACTTCAGCTTAATGTTTAAAAATGATTATTGTGTTTGCAGTGAGTTTGTAAGTGGTTATAAGGGTGATTTTAAGTAATTCAAGCTCAAACTATAAATATGGATCAACATTAAGCTATTATTTATTATTATTTATTTAAATTATAATTATATCCTCTTCTATTACCTTCAATTTTTTTATCCAACCGTTTTTGGAGATTATAAAATTTTCTATCTGAGCATTTTTCTTCTGTGTAGGAACTTTTGACAAGTAAATATAAATTAAAGGACTTAACAGATCATTAAGTTGACAGAACTGTCATTTCGAAACCTAAAACGTGTCTGTTTGGTCATATTTGGAGTGAGAATCAGTTACTGTCGGCTTATCTAAAGTATATTTTGTCTGGTTGTGTCTTATGAACCTCACAGAAGCTCTTTGAACTCATGTTATGACCCTTTGATGCTAACCCTGGTCATTTCCCTGTGTCAGCAGTGTGCAGGATGAGCAGCAGCCACCAGTCCCTGCATTTCCTCAGTCTTCCTGACCCAAAGCAGCTGGTCTGCGTCACCCTGACTCTGCAGGATGAGGGCGAGGAGCTGAGGAGCAAACAGATCAGGACCTGCAGGTGAACGGTGCAGAGGACAGGCCACCGTTAGTGTCACACCACAGCAAACAACCAGAGCTGAAAGTTAATTTAAACATGTGAAAGGTTCATTTATGCACATCTGATGAGGGAGGACAAGTGTGACGCAGGTGTTCAGGCACTGATGAGCCAGGAGAACCTTAAATGATGCACACGTGTAAATAACATTGAATGTGTGTTCTCACAGGGAGCTGGTTCTGCTGTTCTCTGATCTTCTCGCTGCTCCTGCTCTGGACTCCTTTGCTGATATCACAGTGGTCATAGCTGTAAGGAACACACACATGCACACACACACATGCACACACGCACACACACATGCACACACACACATGCACACGCACTCCTACACTTTTAAGCATCCACCTTTAAACCCTGATGTCAGTTTGCCATATCAAACTAACACTGAGACACGTATTGCTGTCGGTTCCCTTATGAAAGTGCACAAATGCCATTATTAAGAAAATGTTGCATCGTGTAATTTGCTGAAAAGTTATAAAATAAATTTCACTTATTTGAAGTTAAAAACACTACAATGATCCACAGTAGCTTGTGCTTTCTCTGAGCCTGAGCTCATTTAAGGTGGACTGCGGCTGATTGGTAAATCCTGGCTACTGCATTCCCCGTGTTAAAGAGGAAGCCGGCACTCCTGATGGTGTTGAGTGAGAGAGTTAAACAGGTTTGAATTTCAGTTCAAATTTGAGCCCCAAAGCACTGAAAACACGATAGACTGGGTTTATACAGTAAACACACTGCTTTCCTTCATGTGTGCTTTTGCTTCTCTGTAAAACTCACTGTTAGTTCAGCTCGAGCCAGGATGACAGAACGACAGCGTTGGGTTGGCTGGCTGACAAGTGGTAAGAAGGTCAGGCGTCCCTGGTGGACGCTGTCCAGTCCGTCTACAACCGCAGACTTTGCTTCACAAGGCAGACTGGTTATTGGTGTTTGGACCCCTCCAGGGTTGAACTGATCTTATTTCTGGATGAATTTCTTGGTGGAGGGTTCGATGGGCTCAGGATCAATGTCTCTGCTTTTTCCTTATGATGTGGTTCTGTTGGCTTCATCGAGGCTCGACCACCAGCTCGCACTGGTGTAGCTGTGGGGGAGAGGGATTGATGCAGTGATGCAGAGCTGAGTGTGAAAGCATATCTGTGGGTATACCTGCTGTTCCACGGGCACCTGTGACCACGAGCTGTGGGTTTTGGACCAAAACGGATCGCAGATATGAGCCTCTGGGCTCAGCATTAAAATGACTGTGAGGAGTTTGGCCTGTTGGGAGGGGCTCAGGGTAGACCCACGTCCTCCACACTGGAAGGGGGAGGGGGTAAGGGGACCAGGATACATCCAGGTGCCTGTTTAGTTGCTGGACATTTGGAACTTTATGAAATGAAAAGGCCATCAGACGATGTCTGAATCGTGTTCTCTCGCCAGCGTTACGTGTCACATCCGTCACATCCACTCACTGAGATTGAAGTCATGTTTTTCTCCTTTGAGTCATTCTGTGTGCTGATTGGGTCAAGAAAGGGACTTCCTGCTTTTATGTCAGAGCTCCTGATGTTGTTTCTATGTGTGAAGCTCCACCCGCTCCTCTGGTCAGCTGCGGTGCTACGATGTCGGTTAGATTGAAGTTTGACTTGATGTAGCAGAAGCAGTTTCTCAGCTCTTTTAAAAGCAGCAGTGGTTGTTTTGTTTCCTTTGGCGTGTGCGTGATGTTTTTGTGCGGGTGTAGCTTCGGGAGCTTCAGGTTTCTGACTGTTTTATAGATTTTGACTCCGTAAACTCGACAGACTGCACGAGTCGACTCTGTTAGCTGCTTTAACGCCGCACGCACATATCAGGCTCTGCACGCCACCTTAGCCCGCACACACGCTACAGGCCTTTACACACACACACACACACACACACACACAACAAAGGCACTCACTCTCAGAGCAGATAGTAATCAGTCCTGACAGATGTGATTTGTCCCTCCTGCTCGCAGTGATGAGGGCCAATCAGGAGATGTGACTGACAGATAACAGCTGCTCAGCTTCAGCCAATCAGCCCTGTTTTCTTTAACAAAATGACACAATCGAGGAAAAGTGACACCAGAGCCGAGCTGTCAGAGATGCTCTGCAGCCTCAGCCTCCCCACGTGCACATGAGTGCACATGACGTCAGCCGGTCTTCAGCCTGCCAAAGACTGTGCGATGTGCCCTTATCTCGTCCACTCACCGTTAATGATTGGACGTCGTATTCTTACCTTGTGCGTGATTATTAGCAGAGTTTCCTGTAGCACACAGGTCTGCTCGACGCTGTGACACACAGTTTACTTGTTGCTGTTTCCTGTGCAACACCCGCAGCTTTTAACAGAAGACCTCTGATGTGAAACATGTTGCAAAAGCAGCGACGGGTCGCTGTTGAGCTGGTGGATGATAAAAGCAGAAAACAGGAGAAAGTCAGTGTTGTGGTTGGAACGTGCACATCTATTAGACTGAAACGCTGAGGTTTCTGTGTGAAAGCT